CACACCAAGAGGGAAGGGGCGAGGGTCTCCTTTGTTCCTCGTGACCCTCCCACAATGCCTGAATTGCGGTGATTCACAACTAAATCTAACTGGAGCAGCCCAGCCACACCGAGGGCTGCTTTGAGGATGCCGCGTGTCCCCCTTGCTGAAGCTCGCGGTGGTTATGCGTGTCCATGGTGGGTAGAACCCTTCTCACACACACGCCTCATGGCTAGCCTGAGGGACACAGCTGTGTCCACTCTGAAGCAAAATGTGAGAAACAGTTAAGCCCAGTGTTCCAAGTACATTTCTCACCAGGAGGGAGTCAGCCGTGGCTGTGCAGAACCTGACAGCACCCACCCGTGTGCGCCATCCCCTCAGCCGGGCAGAGCAGGACGTGGACCTTCCAGGGCCAGAGAACAGGTTGGAGCCGGCAGCCCCACTGGTGTCAGGCCATCAGAGTAACCCTTAGCGGATTCTTCCTTGATTTCTTAAGGTGGTTCTGAAGACCAGAAAAGATGAGAAGATACTGGTTAGCAGGCAGATTTCAGGGGCTGAGGGTAAAATTTTATGTTACTTTTAAAACTGGAGGAATAGCAGCTACAGACGAAATGTTGATTAGCACTTTGCATATCACGTGTGATTGTAGCCCTCAGTTATCACCTCGAGAGCAGCAGCTATGAGTGCACGTGTGCACTTGGGTGTGTGCATAGGCGTGTGTGTGTGCACGTGTGAGGGTGCATGTGTGTTGAGGTGTATGCATGTGAGTGTGTGAGGGTGTATGCGTGTGTGAGAGTGCAAGCATGCGTGAGGGCGTATGTGTGAGGGGGGTATGCATGTATGAGGGTACATGCGTGTGTGAGGGTGCATGCGTGTATGTGTGTGTGAAGGTGTGTGTGTGAGGGTGTATGCATGTGTGAGGGTGTGTGTGAGCATGTGAGGGTGCATGCGTGTGTGAGGGTGTATGAGTGTGTGAGGGTGTGTGCATGTGTGAGGGTGTGTGAGCATGTGAGGGTGCATGCGTGTGTGAGGGTGTATGAGTGTGTGAGGGTGTGTGCATGTGTGAGGGTGCGTGTGTGAGGGTGTATGAGTGTGTGAGGGTGTATGCATGAGGGTGCACGCGTGTGAGGGTGTATGCACGTGTGAGGGTGTGTGCATTGTGAGGGTGTATGCGTGTGTGGGTGTGTGTGTGTGTGAGGGTGTGTGCATTGAGAGGGTGTGTGTGTGTGAGGGTGTATGCGTGTGTGAGGGTGTGCGAACATGTGTGAGGGTGTATGCGTGTGAGGGTGTACGCGTGTGAGGGTATATGCGTGTGTGAGGGTGTGTGTGTGAGGGTGCGTGTGTGTGACAGTGTATGTGTGAGGGTGTGCGAACATGTGTGAGGGTGTAAGCGTGTGAGGGTGTATGCTGCATGTGGGTACCTGCGTGTGCGAGGATGTGCGTGATGGTGCATGCATGTGTGAGGGTGTATGCGTCTGTGAGGGTGCATGCATGTATGTGTGTGGGAGCATGTGCGTGTCCCTTGTGTTCCAGGGCTGCTGGTCATGTGCCTAGAATAATTTCATCTAGGTCCTGTGACATTCAGGTAGTGCTGGCTCCAAATTTAACTAGATAGGAAAGACAACAAAAGTTAATTTCATTAATATTACTTTTAAAATTACTTGTTAATACATTAAAAATTAGGCGAGTGTGGTGGTGCATGCCCGTAGTCCCAGCTACTCAGAAGGCTGAGGCAAGAGGATGGCTTGAGCCCAGGAGTTCACATCTAGCCTGGGCAACAGAGCAAGACTTCGCCTCTTAAAAAAAACACTAAATCACCTTCTGAGGGTATGTGAGAGACTCGGCGAGTGCGCCACCTGTATGCCCGAGGGAATGACCCACTTCCCAGCAGAGCACATCACACTTACTAGATTCTGCTCTCCCAGGTCAGTGTGCAGTGTTGTGCTGGAAAATACCCAGGCTGAGAACCTGGAGCGTACAAGACGTTTCGGTTGGTTGGAGACTGCATGATTTTCTAACAACATCTCAGAGCAGTTACCCTTGAGTGGCTGGACTACAGCCCAAGGCAAGCCCTGGAGGATAAAGGGGTTGCCTAGCACATCCGCAGGCTAAGGCACCGTCTGAGCTCCACCCATCCTCAGTGCTCTGCTGGTTCCTGCTGGGAGCCTCTCACCACAGTCAAGCTGAGGCTTATCTGGGGATGAGCCTGGCAGAGTCATCTGGTTTTATCTTTTCAGCTTTGATGTTCCCACCAGTGGCTTTCGCCTCTTTCCGCTGCTCCAGCAGACAGGTTGTCGTCTCATTAGATCTTGGTGTCTCCTTAGATGTTCGGTGGCAGTCAGGGCACGGCCGCTGCCACTTAGACGTGTCTCCATGTGGAAGGAGGCCTCGTGTCCACAGCGATGCAGGACGGGGAGGCAAAGTCGTGTGGTCAGCAGGCTGAGTGGACACTTGGGAGCAGGAACTGGTGGAGGCTCAGGCCTGAAGACGGTGGCTCTCAGAGCTGCCAAGGTGACAGAACTTCCCTGAAACTGTGGATTCAGAGGGACCAAAAGACTGATCTTTTTTTACTGATAGTCTGTTCCGGACTTGAGTCGTTCTAACTGTGCTGCCTTCATTTCTCCTGGTTTATTTTCATCTTAGTTTCTATCTGATGAAGGTGCTGTCAGAGTTAATGAAGCACCTTTGGCAAACCACTGAGGGCACCTAGAGGCAAGGGCCCGAGCGATACAGTGTCCTGCAGCTGTGGCGATTCATTGGCTCTTCTTGCTGCACAGAAACCAGGGCAGAACGGTCTGGGATGACGGAAAACTCCATGTTTGTAAGAAAAATGGAAGCAATCCACAGTTGTCAGAAGGAAAAAGAACAAAAGTGTCCGGCCGCTCTGTGAAGAAATGCATCACCAGTCAGTTCACTGTGGTGCGTGACGCCGTCCCTGTGTCTGCAGTACGGGCTTCCCCGGCCGTGGCTCTCCGGGCGCCGTCCCTGCTGTGGTCCAGACCAGCCGGTGCAGCCGTTGGTTGCCCCCTGGTGGCAACCTGTTCCCTGCACTGGTGAGGCCCTCATCCTGGGAAATGGGTAAAAGGTGACCCTGTTAAAAAACAGAATGTACGAAGGCAGCCAGGATAGAGCAAGGAGCGGGCTGGTCACTCCCCTTAGATTGTATGGGAAAGGTACAAACTTTCAGATTGTAATTCATTCGTGTCGATTTTAGTCCAATTTGGTAAAGGAGTAGATTAAAAGCAGAGAAAAGGTTAGGCTCTCTCACAAATCTCTCTTTCTTAAAAGGCGTTCAAGGTTGCAGCAACTAGGAGGGCAAGTGTGTGGGACTAGCAGTTAGGTTCCCACAAGCTGGAAGGAGCCACCTTATTTTTTAGCTTTATTGAGACCGAATTCAGCGTCCAGCCATTTAAGTTGTCCAATCCAGTGTCTTTTGGTGTGTTCGCAGAGTTGTGCAGCCAATGCCATAGTCAGTTTTAGAACATTTTCATCACCCCGAAAAGAAGTGTCTGTGCTTGTTAAGTCGTCTCTCCCCGTTCCCCCAGCCCCCAGCCCCTGGAGCCTCTAAGCTGCTTTCTGTCTCTCTGGATTTCCCTGTTCTGGAAATGTCACGTGAAAGGTGCATGGTCTGGGTGCCTGGCTTCTGTCACTCAGCGTGATGGTGCTTCAGTGGCACGTCCGTGGGGTCATCCGTGGTGTGGCTCATCCGTGTCATGGCCTGTTTCAGCGCCTTGCTCCTGCTGTGGCTGAGATCCCGCTGTATGGGCAGGTCACACTGTGTTCATCGTTCATCAGTTGATGGACATCGGGGTTGTTCCCACCTTTTGGCCACTGTGAATGATGCTCACATGCGAGTTTCTGTGAGACCACGTGGATTCACTGCAGCCCGGCAGTTCCTCAGAGGCTTCAACAGAGAGTTGCCGTATGACCATCAGTGGCTAAAAGGGTAAGAGCGGACACCCTCATCTTGTCCTGACCTTAGAGGGAGGTGCCCAGGGTTCAGCGTGGAATGTGACCTTAGCTGTGGGTTTTCACAAATGCCCCTCATCTGGTTGAAGCCCTAGTGTTTCCTTCTCACATCAGAGGCAAATGCATGGGGGTGGGTTCTCAATTTCCTCTGGTTTGGACAATAAAAAGGACCAAGAAAAACGGAGTTCTTTGACCGCTAACATGTGTGTAAAAAGAAAGTTTGTAAAAGCAAGAGTTAAAATGCTTCCCACAGTGCGGTCATCACGGCACACAGGACCCTGGAATTATACTGTGGGGTTGTCCTTGTGGTTTCCTTGCTTGTCATGTGCTCTCAGCTCAGACAGGGACATCCAACTGACTTCTGACTTGGGGAATTTAAACTTTACACCACAGCTTTATTTAGATGGCTTGTTTATTGTATTTTCCATTTGTTTTTATTTAAACGTTGTATAAAAATTGTTAGGGCTGGTTTCGATATAGAAAAATCATGATGACTGGTTTTGCTAAGTCCATACACCTTTGTGGTCTGGGGAGCGGTGAGTGCTGAAGTCAAAGGAATGTCTGCGGAAACAAACAAGGGGGTTCTCTCAGCTTCAGAGGCTGACGAAGCGGATGAAGTGGGCTCCTGGGCAGGGAGTACTTGGAGAGGGAGCGGCTGCACAGTGCTCAAGCTGGGGCTGTGTGTACCACCGGCAGGATCACGTGCTGAGCCATGGGGGACTCAGCTGGGGCCATTAGAAGCTCCGGGGCCTGCTCCACCCATTCTGACTGGCGCTGCCCTCAGGAAACCATCTCTGCCTGAAACCCATTAGGGCCGGGGAGAGTTGTCTGGCTGGAAAGGAAGAAGACAGATGCTGGTGGTGTTTTTGTCTTTTGGTTGTTGTTTTAGAGACACTGAGAAGATCAGCGTAATTTTCCACTCTGCCCGTGTGTGGCTTTGCTCTTCTCCATGCCCATCTGTGGCTTGTTTTGCAGAAATCTTCTCTCAGGCTTTTTCTCTCTCACCCTTTCACATTGCAAGGCCCTCCACCTCTTCACTAACTTTCCTGCAGATGACGGAGGCCTGCAACCAGGAACCTGACTCTTCAGCTCAAATCTTGGTTCGAAAGGGGGACTTCTCTGTGCCCCCGTTGTCGGCATGCTATGGTAGTGAATGGACGGCCCACCCATTCTCAGGGGCCCCTCGTGAGACCCCGGCCATCTCATTCCATGGGAGCCACATCAGGAGGAAGGAGGGCTGGGAGGGGACGTCTGGCTGCGTGGCGTGGGGCCTGCAGTGTTGTGGCACACACAGCTTCAGCCAAACGTCTGGCCCTGTACCTAGAACTAAGAAATAAAACTATAATATCAGATTTAAAAGTTCTCCGGGAACATTTGTCCTGCCCAAAATAGTAAGTTGTCATTTTTAGAAGAATAAAACAGCTTTGATAAGCGCCGTGGATGCACCTGACACAAGAGAATTGATGGTGCAGATGGATTTGGGCTCAAGGTGGTTTTCAATACCCAGGTGACGTCTAGGTGATTGCAAAGGGTGTCTGTTGGATTTGCACCTTTTTTCCCTGTGGAAGTTATTTTTATGTAGTTTTGTATGTGTTCTCAGAACAAATTGGCCAAAAACATTACCTTAAAGTGTGACTTGATTTTCAGTGTACATTTTCAGATGTTATAGGAAATGCGTTCGCAGTTGAGGGGTCAAAGCAGGGGAAGATGGCTTCCTTGGCAATAACAAGCAAAGGCAAACGTGTTTATTTTTGTATCTGTAAAAGCTGGCCGCTCTTTAAGTGTAGTTCCAGCATCTAAAGTGGACACAGAGCCTGTTCTTCGGGGCCTGTCACACCCTCACTGTCTATGTGAGAGTTTATCCCTCCTTGCGGATACTGGGGGCAGGAGCTGCCTTCATACACGCAGGCATCAGCTGCCACCCTTCAGGGAGGGCTGGGGGCCAGTGGGCAAGTGGCTGCTGTTCCTCTGAGCATCTCATCAAAGGCAGGCCAGTTGGTCACAGGCATTTTGGGAGTGGGAGACAGACGGTCAAGGTCAAAAACAGGTCGCAGTTGTAGAAGTGGGAGGGGCCCAGAGCACTGTGGGTGAGCAGCTGGGGAGCTTGGGGTGAGACCCTGCTGGGCCCTACCCAGCTGTGTTGCCTCCCTGCTTTCTGCCTCAGTTTCTCGCATAACAAAAGCAGGTGGCAAGATGAGGAGTTGAACATGAGGCGTGCCAGAGCTCTGAACTCTGCAAAGGGCTTCTCCACTGGAAATGTGTTGTGCGCTGCAGCCCTGGGTCTGACTGAAATGCAGGTTCTATCAGCGGGGCCAGGCTGCTTCCCTCCCAGGGACAGGTCTGCCGGGCAGCCTTGGGCAGTGGATTTCTGAGGTGCTTCATCCAGCTGCCTGTCCCCACACATGCTCTGTGCAGGGGGAGAGGACACAAGGAAAGGGGAGCCGACGCCCATCAGGAAGACCAGGAGCTGGAAGCAGCTCCCAGCCAGGAAGGAGGGGAAGGGCCAGGTTCCAGGTTGGCAGCAGAGAGAAGCTCTTCCCTGAGCAGGAGGCAGGGGCACAGTCGCTGGTGAGGGAGACCGGGGAGGAGACCCTCCTTGTGGGGAGAGGGGAGGGAGATCTGATCTGCTGAGTTTAGGGGAAGGGCGTGCCTGCCGGGCTTTGGAAGCAGAGACGTAGGGTTGCTCCCTCCCTTTGAGACCTGTCTGTCACCAGCTGGCTGCAGCGCTGTGTGGAGATGAGGCCTTCTTGGGGGCTCACAGTGGCATGTCACCATGTCCCTGGTGGCCTGGGTGTTTAATGCACCCAAGCACACTGGGTCCCCTGGCGCCCAGAGCATGATGCCTGCCTTGGCGTGTGTGGCATCAGGACCACAGCTTCCACAGACATCCCAGCTGGGGACATCAGCTGACTTGGCTGAGGGACCAGGGGACAGACACCACCTCTCCTATCCCCCAGGGGCGTGTGACCTGGGGTCACTGGCATGCTTGGTGGGCACACCGGTCTACGTCAGGGTACGCAGGGCTCGTCGGTGGGTGTCGTTGCCACACAGACTGAGCCTTCAGGGTGGCGCCCCTTCCTGTCTCACCCCTGCAAGGCTGCTTCTCCAGTCGCAGCCCATGTTCTAATGTCGAGATCACATATGAGATTCAGGCCTTCGAACAGCCTCACTGCAGGAGCCGCCTTCCAACCCGCTGGAAACGTGCGTGTGAGGCCAGGGTTCTTACCCTCAGCACTGCTGACGTTCTGGGCTGGACATTTCTTTGCTGTGGGGCATCTGCACATGGAGAGCTATCGGTGCCCCTGGCCTCTGCCATCTGGATACCAGGAGCGTCCCCCACACTTGTACTAACTAGAATGTCTCCAGACATCACCACGTGTCTGCTGGGGGCAGAACCATGGGGCTAAGTTGTAACTGTCCCCTGTGGTGGACTCTGTTGTGATGAGGAGGGGCTGGGCCTGCAGGTGGACGTCTGCCCCCCGACAAAGCTTGTATGAGGGGGACCCAAGAGCATGTGGTGCCTATGCCAAGCTCACTGGCGGGAAGAGGGGTCAGGCTCACTTCCTCCAGGGAGTGGCGAGCAGCCCTGCCATTCGCGGTGCCATAGAGACAGTTAAGCTTGAGAATGTGATTGCCGTTCTGGGTGTGAAAACACGCAGAGGCCACCGTGTGCCCCAGCCCGCAGAAAACAAGGACCCCTGACACTGTCTGGGTTGGTCCTGGGAGGGCCCCCGTGATGCCTGGGGGGTGCACACCATGGAGCAGAGCCTCCTCCATGTAGCCTGGGAGCCTCAGTGAGGCCACAGCCCCAGGAAGAGCACAGTACTGCATTCCCAGGTACGCCCCTCCCAGCTACGTGTCCTCACCTGCCGGCCCCAGCTGTGGCTGCCCACGCCCCGCCTGGCTCTCCTGCCAGGAACTTCCCAAGCAGAGGCCTCGGGTAGTAGGCACTCCTTGCCCCCTCTGCCACCTGGGCTGCTGAGGGGGTATCACCAGGAGTCAGCTCAGGACCTGGACACCCAGGCCCAGGTGAGCAGCTGACGCACCAGTGGCCATTCCCTTCCCAGGCCCTGATTCACCCAGCCAGGCCTCTGTGCCACGTTTCCACAGGACATTCAGCTTCCCCTTTCCTCTCCTCTCTGCAGACCACTGAACTTTCGTTCTGAGGCACAATGGGGCATTCCCGTCAGGCTCTGCCTCCCTAGACAGAGGCGAGACCAGCTGCAACGTAGCTCCCAGCAGCTGGGTGCCCCTCTGAGATGGGCCAGGCAGCACGCTCACAGCGCCTTCGTGTGGCTTCAGGTCTTTGACCATCGCATTCCTAACCAAAATATAAACTTCAGGATCATTCTGGATTTTGCATTACCCAAACCATTTGCTTTTGGTAGTAATAGTGTCTTGGCAGAGTTCTTGCTCTTGGACTTCGTATGGTGATGGTGACCACCATGCATGGAACCCATGGCATGGGCATCCGCCACTGTGCTTGTTACCAGAGGAGGAGGTGAAGTCGCTGCCTGGAAGGCCCAGGCAGCGGCCAGTGGTGGCAGCGAGACCACACCGTTGAGAAACCAGTGCTCCTAACAGCTTGCCTGCACCTCCCCTCTTGGCTCTGCAAGTCTTTGCATGGAACAGCTGATGTAACGTGGGCCCAGGGCAGCAGGGGACCCTAAAGCAAGCCTCCTGAGCCGGGGGGGGGGGCAGTGGCATGTCACGGGGGACTCCCCTGTCCTGTTGGCCTTCTCTGGTGGATTTGGGGACCAATGGCCCGCTGGAGGCAGGACTCGCCCTGGCAAGGGAGCGGGCGTGGGTGGAAGGGCATGTTGCTGCAGTCTGGGGCATGTGAGCCCGGCTTCCAGGGATGAGCTCATCCTCCCTGGACCCTGAAGAAGTCTGAGGCTTCTTCACTGAGGCTCACCTGAGTGATTTCAGTGCCAGGGGTTTACCAAGGAAAAATGGTCCCCTCCAGTTTGAAAACAAACAAAAAAAAATGACTGCAGCCAACCCTCAGGCCCTTCCCGTGAAGGCGCTGTGGTCCACACCATGTGGGCTTGGCTGTGGGCACTGGGCTGGCTTCTGGTGCTCACCAGCCGATGCGTCGGGAAGTCTGGGGGGCAGTGAGTTCCCATTGGTGCTTTGTGACAGGCTCCTCCTCTTCATGGCCCCAGAAAAAATGTATGAAACGGGAAAGTGTCAGTGGTGGTTAGTGCTCTCTCTGGGCTCTGGCGTGGTGTTCTCTGGCTCCCTGCAGGACGCCACCTGCCCAGTGAGTTCTTCTGCCTACCTCCTGCTCCTCCTTCCTCACTCCCTCCCCAGAAGAGGAGCCACTGGCTTGAAACCTTCATGCTGTTTGGGGTGGACCTGCTCCTACACACGTTAGGAAGTGATGGGGCAGGGCAAAGAGAGGGGACCTTGCCATGCTGTCGGCATGTGTCCATCTGCCCAGATTTGTGGACGTCTGTTTTCTGCCTCGTGTGTTCTGTAAAGATGCTTGTGCCGTGTGAAGGTGGCACTCCTTCAAACTGTGAGCTCCACCCTCCCATCCTGGCAGGAACCATCTGGGGTGAGAGCCGGCATTGCTAGGGAGACTGGGGGCTAGGACATGGTTTTACCAAAGTGCTGTGGTCGGAGGCATTCCTAAAGCAAAAATGACCAAAAAGCCAGGTTGGACACTGGAAATGGGCTTGAGGGAGGATGGCTGCAAGCTGGGATTCTCCAGGGATGCTCCTCTTTATGGGTTCTCAGCATTTAGGCACCGAAGGCTGAAGGGTTCTCCCTTTCTTGAGAGGAGACACTGTTGCAAGGGCAGGTGCAGCCAGGAGCAGGAGTCGGTGGTGAAGGAGTGGGGCTCCCCTCTAAGCCCAGCAACAGCGGACACTGAGCTCGGAGGAGTCTGGCTGGAAGGCCCAGGTTTACAAAGCCTGGACCCAGAGGCATCTCCTTGAGGAGTCAGACCCGTTCTCTTCCTAGAGTGCAGCGCTGACCCTACCAGGAGCGGGTGGTTGAGATTTTTATAGAGATCACTGCAGTTTTTCCAGTGATTTCTCCACTGGGACAGACATGCGGATGCAATCCAGGTCTCCCCATCTCACATGTGCTGGGTTGGTCTTAGGAGCAAACCACAGCTGTATCTGGAAGAATCAAGCACAGAAAAAGTTTCTTGTCTAAGGCAATATGTGATCTTGCTGGACCACGATTATCCCATGCCTGTGTGTGTGTGTGAGCTTCCCATTTGGACTGCGATTTATTTCATGCATGTGTGTTGGGTGAGTGTGCACGTGTGTGCTTCCCATTTGGACTGCGATTTTTCGTGTGTGTGTGCATGCACGCTTCCCATTTGGACTATGATTTATCCTGTGTG